CACACACACACACACACACACACACACACACACACACACACACACACACACACATTACTCTGCTTGAGTTTATGAATGGAAACAGATGCAGAAGAAAAGTGAAACACTAGAGGGCAGCAGTATATCTGCAGAGAAAACAGCTGTGACGTTTCAGTACAGTAGGTTAAAGGTCACGACAGCTTGTCAGGTTCTGTATGATCAAACAGGAGCTGAATATTTAAACACACAYACGCAGAAAGGCCAAGCAGCTGCAAAAACCTCTGTTTTAGACCTCTGAGCCAGTCTACACACACGTTCACACACAAACATGTCCAGAACTCCTCTCTGTGTGTAAACACAAAGCAAGGCATTAATAAAGCTGAGATTTGGCCTCCTGCTGCTCTCTCTGCATTATAATTCGTTGTTGCAGGTGTACTCAACATGTCAGCGTGCCTCAAGCCAACTGGGTCATCCAGCTCTCACCATCATGACTCCTCTAATCCCTCAGATAACTACTGACTTCTCCTGATGCTACTTAAAGGTGTTACATGCAACTTATTTCATGTTTGGGATTTGTTTTTGTTTTTTCTCATTATTATACCTTATACCTAAATTTTTTGTGGCTAACTGACACTTTGTTGTAAATGTATATTCTGGTTTATTTGATTATTATGGTGTCCTTTATTTAAGTACTCACCTGGTTCTGAATGTTAGGAAAACTAAATGAGGTTTAAACTAGCAGTGAAAGAGATGGCACAAACAAGTTCTTATGTTTTTTCTCAAAAATTTGAGAAATAACTTGAATTCATCCCACTCTTAGTGACTAAGTGCCTCAAACTGAAATCTATTTGTGGCTTTAGTGGGAGCTGAAATCTGCCTCCTCACCTCCCCAAAAGATCCATTTTTCTCCCTCTTCATTTAGGCTGAAGTAAAATGGAAAGCTCTGGTCATGGCACTGCATATATGTTTTCACTTTATACTCAGTGCTGCATTGATTCTCTTCTCAAACTTCACATATGCTCAACAAAAAGCCAGCTAAGCTGCTGGGTTTCACACAGATAAAGAACAGACACCTCGGAAGCTGCTCTTAATTTACCGACTTCACATATGTCCCATTCCTTGTTGACTGCACTTCTCACATCGTAGTAAACAACAGATTTTGCAAAGCAATGCTGCAGGGGTCTGACTTTGTTTGTGTTGCAAAAAACAACTGATGCTTCTTGCAAAACTATCACATGCACCAAGTCATCTGGGCCTATGTAAGTCAAATGATGTGAAAGAACAAATTAAGCAAATGTTGACATATGGATGTAAAGAAATCAAGACTTTGCATTGTGAATAAATTAAAGCCACTTGTCAAGAAACTCAACCAGCAGGTCAACTACAACCACATGTCCCTAAATGATGACTAGATGACTCCTCCCAGGCTCTTAGGCAAAAGTGAAAACTTTCTGTGAGAGAACATGTTGGGTTGCAACTGCTGCCAACTGGTTGTTGACAGTCTTTGYAGTGGTTCTCAGTAGCTTGAATTCAGTGAGATTGCAAGTGAAAAATGTGCTCATCGTCTCGCAGTTTTGAGTGGTCAGCTTCATCCACCCGTCGCAGCCCAGTGAGATCCTGCCTTAAGCAGACTGCACATCTCTGGAGAGCCACATCTCATCTCACTTTCCCCCAACAGAAGATTGGGTTCACATGGAAACAGCCTGTGCAGGTACTCCACTGAGGCTACTGACGTGGAGGCATTCAGAGTTTGTGCTGTAGTTCTGCATCAGAGCTTTACCAGTTCAAGTAATCCCCGGGGTACAGTCCTGTAGACAGAGCTCCAATGTAAAAACAATGGCATCTAAAACATTAACGGCCTGCACTGTAACAAACACATTCTGAGTCGATACTTTTCGGCACGACTGCAATATTCGGGTTGCTGCCACTAGTCGGAAAGGTCAAGGGTTAACCTAGCCAAGAGTGAAGAGGGCTGCACCACAGGGACGAAGACAAGGAGAGAGAAAGTCATGTAAAAAGTAGGTCAATGACAAAATGTGAATAGCCACAAAACATGAACAGCATGGGTAAACTAATGACATGACCTCCTGTATCTTTTCCTGAAATTACATCCCGACTCGTCTCCAAATGACGTTGTGCTGGACGCTTCAGTGTCACGCTTACTGGAGAGGCTGGCAAGCATGCACGTTCGCTCCCCAATACAAGCAGACACAGAGACAGCTCCTTACCCTCACTGCCTTACATGGTGTTAAAGTGATACCTCTTGCTGCTGCAGCCCTTTGCACGGGGTTGCAGCCAATATTTCACAAGCACAGCGAAACAGCTACACTGCCATTCTGGACAGCAGGGCACAGCTGGCTTTGTCTCCTTCCAGTAAACTCACAGATTTTACTGATTTTCATAGTGTTACCAATTTTAGGCCAATTTGAGCCAAACAGAACACAATTATGCTGCAATTCTCTGTGATTGTTTATCAATGAGTTGTTTGGACCTGGGACAATATGGATTTCTTTTTAAAGCTTAACAAACACAAAAATATATGATCTACTGTAGTTCAAATAAAAATGTATCTGAATTACAGTTTAAGATGCAAAGAAAGCAAACATTTAAATGGTAAATGGCCTGGTCTTGTATAAAGCCAAGTCTTGTAAGGACTCCAACACTTAACACTTCACACTACAGTCATACAGCCATTCATACACACAGGTTAGTGATAAACTACACTACATCTACAGYTGGCCCTGGGACAGACTGAGAGGTGAGGCTGCCATTACAGCAGCTCCACTGAGGCCTCTGACCACCATCGGCAGGCAAGGCGGGTGAAGCTTCTTGACCAAGGACACAACAGCTGAAACACGCGGAGCAGGGGGTTTTGAAACGGCAATACATGGGTTACAGCATCGCAGCACAATGGCTCAGTGGTTAACACTGATGTTTCACAGAAAGAAGGTCCTGGGTTTGATCCTTGATTCGGACCAGGGGTCTTTCTGTGTTCTCCTCGTGCTTGCATATCTTTTCTCTGGGTACAGGATATCTCCCTAAACCACCCTGCCACAGCCGCCCCATGCAGAATTTAATCATTACAAACTGTCATGTGTTGTAGATGCAGATCTAACTTAAAGACAAATAAACTGTAGCAGTACAGTGAATATAACAGCAGGTGTATGCAATGGTGACTCGTATCCTGACCTGTGGGTTTTCACCAGCCTCAGACTCTGCAGCATGTCTTGGGGGTCTTGAGGACACCTGCTGGCCCAAAGAGGGGATGTGGCTCTTCAGAGGTGCAGAAGGCAGAGCTAAAGCTGAAGGCCTGCTGGTGGTCTGTGGAATGGGCAGTGCACTGTGAACAGGTTTGGGTTTGGGGAGTCCTGACTTCATCTTTGAGGCCACCAGGATGGCTGGCATCTTCTCCTTCCGTCCACCTAATGACCAGTGCACGCTCCTCCCCTGCTACTCAGCCAGCTGTCGGTAAGAATCCCCTCTGACTAACTTTTGATCGGGCCGTTGCAGATCAAAAAAACAAAATCTAACATTAAAACTGTTGCTCCAATTTGTCAGCATCTGGATCCGCTCCTGCTGGAACTCAGCCAAAAGGGGAGCTACATATGCCAACAGTGCAGGGCTTAAACCTCCCCAATTCCCACCTGTTTCACGTTACCGTGCAGCTTCAGCTCATGTATGCAGCGCACAAATGTCTGTTTTCTTTTAGAGCACGCATTCAGGTAGACATGTCCCATAAATCCCAGCAAGCAAAATAAAAAAAAATATCTCAATTCACAAATTTCCAGATGCCTGGTGGTGGTGTGAGTGATCCGGTCCACTTATTCCCAGTTCAGTGTGGAAGTCAGCAATTACCAAAAAGATCCTACAGTTAGCAGCTCCTCGCCAACTGAACGCTTCTGGATGACAGCAGGAAAGACCTTGCTTTATCAAGCAGAGGAGAGCAGAAACAGAGGGAGGGGAAAAAAATACAAGCAGCAGCAATGCAGCAACCGTTCGCTTCAGCGACTGCTCAGTCTGTGACAGCACAGCCTGAAAAGCAGCACTCCGCTGCCTCTCTCCCTCGCTGGTAAGTCGTGTTCAGCAGCAGGTGTGGCTTAGATCAGAATGACATATGTGGAGAAAGRCTCAACACACAACCGTGGTGCCTCTCTCCAGACTGCCTTGGTCTTATCCTGATGGGTTTAAAATGCCACATTTGTTCTTATCTCCCGTTTAAAAACATTTCATCCGCAAGCTTAGAGTGAGTTCTTGGTTAAAAAAAATATTTATCTTATGAGAAATGCATGAAAAATGTCATTATTAAACATTTTTTTTTACTTTTGAGTCTGAGACCATTTTAATGATAAAAAAGGGATTTAACATTTAATCTAAAAAAATGTTTTCTAATGTCTTTTACTGTACCAACTTTTGCGCAAGCCTCATCAACGAGAACACTGAAATGGCCGTCTTAAAGAAAAAAAATCACTTGACAGGAGTTAGACTGGTTATCAAAAGTCCCAATTCTGGCAGCAAATATGAACATACTCAGTTTGTCTGTATTCCCTCCCTGTCTTTAGTCTGTAAAAGTTCCCACTTTTTTTAAAGATGAGGATGGCCAATTAGTGGGCTGATGTTAGATCAGCCTGAATCCCAGCAGGCTTTCAGAAGCTGCTGACGAGTTGGACCAAATCTTATTGCAGTACTAAAGAAAAAAGGAAGTATTGAATTCTTTCCTCCTCTCACCTACAGTATATCTAGCTTATGTCAGACTTTACAAAGTCATATATATTTCCATCTACAATTTTATCACCCAAAGGTAAGATGCAGTAACAAATATGAACTCTGGCCTGCATTTAGCAGTGTTGATTAGATGGTGCAGTTGGTTGGGTGACATCTGCAAAACCTTACAATAAGTGCATGTTGTCCCATTAATTSAAATGGTGGCAGTGCTTTTGATAGTCCTAGATATATGGTTCCCAAWTTTCAGTACAAATACCACTGGTGGAACTCAGGATCCCTCTAGTGGTACTCAGTTGAAACTTGGATAACAATTATTCTAAGTTAAATGGTCTGTTGTCAGCTGAACTGTATATGAAAAGTAAATAGTAAAAAAAGATGAGTGGTTCAACAGAAATACAACMTCGGCTTTAAACGAAAACTAATTCAACCAAAACTGTATTTGAGAACACTTTATAAACTCCTGTTGAAATCTGGGTGGACGAAGGTTAACCATTATGCTGGTGGATACCTCAGCAGCATTGAATATTCATWTGACCTTCTAGCACAAAAGGTTCAAAACAGTAAATTTTCAGCTATTTCACTTATTCAGATTATGATGTAATTTGTATTCAGCTGTGGGTCAAAGGACCAAGACAACAGTGTATGTGGTGAGGTTTTCAGTAAGGATAGCATTGACTTAGCACAGCTTAAACTGCAACCTTTAGCTGCTGTTGGCTCTTTTTCATGTCTGAAATGGTTTGATGATGATGAGGATGAGTTTTTGAGTTGAGAGTAGAAAGTCAAAAGGTAGGYACATGCTGCAGATGTCGATCAAAACAGCAAATTCATTGCTTCATTCAAGAATTGAATTGAATTGAAAAAGCCTCCTGGATGGGAAGCAAAACGTCTTCAACTTTAGAATTGAAAGTCCAGTTGTTTTTGTTGTTTTTTTTAACCTTTTTTTGATTCATTCAAGAGATAAAATTTCAGATAGTTTTTTGTTTGTTTGAGTTTTGGGACACATCCTCAGTACTGGACCATGTGTTCCTCTGATATTTGGGCTATCACCCCTATACACTCTCACCACAAGAAGGTCCCTTTAGTCTAATGAGATTATTAGAGGATTAAGGTTAAGATAAATATGTGTTTGTTTTTTTTTATCTTAGAGCCAGATGTTCAAGTAAATTGGTCACTTTGATTGTTTGTCAGATTCTCAACATACATTTGTTGAGTCAT